GCCAAGGAAGGGGAGTCAGTAAGGAGGACCGGGGGAGTGCGGCCAGTGGGCAACGGGCCAAGGAAGGGGAGTCAGGAAGGAGGACTGGGAAGGAGTTCCAGAACAGACCCAAGCAATGACTTCTGGGACGCTGATTAAATCTCACTGGGCCCCAGAGGAGCTCAACCAGAGCTGAGAAAGGGCTGGGACTCGGCAGATAGGAGGCAACTGGTGAGCCCAGGGAGGGTTCTCCAAGGAGGGTGAGGATGAAAACCACCTCTGAGGGCTGACACGGAAAAGGGGGATGGGGGATCTAAACCACACACTCAGGATGACTGGGAAATGAAGAAGCCAAAGCAGCAGATAAAGGGAAGGTAAAACGACCGGGCGTTATTCCAGTAGCGCACCCAGTCTTCTCATGAGGACAGAGAGAGTCAGAGAGTCACAGCACTAAGGCAGGGTCCCAGCCCAGGGCTGCATCATTCTCTGGGGGGACGGGGGGTAGGATGTTAGTGGCAGCCCTGGTCTGCACCCTGTAGGTGGCAGCAGCATCCCCCCACCCAGAAATGCCTCCAGACACTGCCAACGCCCCCGGGGGGACAGAATGGCTCCTGTGTGTTTGAGACGCCCTGTACTAATAATATAAATATGAATAGAGATGAGGGATTAAATTTCGGGTCAAGAAAGAAAGATTTCTTCCTTGCTTTAGGTGAATTTTATCCCTTGAGAAAAAGATGAATGAAACAGTACTGCTGCCTTAAATCCTCAACATAAAATTGAGGAGAAAAACCAGACCATTTAAAAATGAGAAACGCGGAGCGGACTGTCGGCGGCCTCTGGCTGAATGCAAAGGCCCTTCTCCAAGTCCACTTGCTCTTTTCTCTCAGCGCTCACGAGTATTTCCAGTCTTATGATTTGGGGGGAAAACAGGACTTGGAGGGGTGTGCAGTCAGCTGGATAACGTCTCACTTTTTAACAGGAAGCCCGCGCTGTGAAATCCACAAGAGAATCTGGGTCTAAACACTGCTCTGTCCTAGGAGGGAGGCATATCTGCCACCGGAGAGACGGTTTGCATTTTCCTGAATCGAGGTGACGCAAAGGGGCTCCCCTCTGGAGGCTTCTGTGGCCTCAGTGATAAAGGATGAGATTGCGTCCTGGGAGTGGGTTTCAATCCAAGGTCAATAACTGATTTGGGCTTAGTAAACCCTGGAAAAAGTGATGGTCAGTCCCCAGAAGAAGCCAAGTCAATTCACAAAGTCCTTATAACTGAGCCTTTCATAGCTATTTGATGGCTGCACCAAACGGCCATCTCTCCCACGACCCAAATAATCCCTTAGGTATCGCCAGATATTCCACTGACTTTCAGCTACACAGCAAGACCCAAATAATCCCTTAAAAACAAAAAAACAAAGCGCATTGCCGTCCAGCCAATTCCAACTCATAGCAACCCTATAGGACAGAGTAGAACCGTTCCATAGGGGATCCAAGGATGCAAATCTTTTCGAAAGCAGGCTGTCACATCTTTCTCCTGCTGAGCTGCTGCTGGGTTTGAACTGCCAACCTTTTTTGGTTAGCAGCCGAGCGCTTAACCACTGCGCAACCAGGGCTCCTTAATAATCCCTTAGGTATCTCCAAATATTCAGCTGACTTCCAACTACACAGCAAGACCCAGGTAATCCCTTAGGTATCTCCAGATCTTCAACCGACTTCCAACTACACATCAAGATGACTCATCTGGTTATGCAGAGCGCAGTGCGCAAGCTGTTTGCTTTGGAGGTCCCGCCAGCTAGGAAGCTCACTTAACGTAGGTGCATGCTTCTTGAGGTTATTCCATGGCCATGTGGCTGTCTGGTAACAACTGACGTGATTTTTTAGGCTAAAATTAATAGGACCTTCCTCTCCTGTTCTCCCCCCTCTTTTCTCCTTTCTTTCTTTCATCTGTCAAGTATTTATGGAGCACCTGCTGTGTGCCCGGCTCTGTGTCTACACTGGAACACATCTGATGTTCAAATCCTGTTTTGCTGACCTGGAAGGGGACTCGGCATTGCTGTCTAAGGCACGTCTTGTCCTCCTGCCCCGAGACCCCTCTCTCTCTTCCGTCAAGGTCAGGAGATTGGGACAGACTCCCCGGTTCTCCATAGGGGACCACCCTCTCCTGGGGAAGCGGCCTGCACAGTGTGCAC